CATCTTAGTCATGGGGTCAGCGAGGATCCAAGGCTTCTTGGACTCTGTCATGGAGATGTCATATCATCAACGTTCCAAATGCTATGTCAGTGGGGATGTATGCAGTCAGTCAACCAACATTTATCGAACACCTACTGTGTGCTATACACTGTGCTAAGTACTGGGGATTCAAAGAAAAGCAAAAGACAGTCCCTGTTCTCAAGGACCTCACAGTTTAATGGTGGAGTCTACAAGCAAACAAGATATAGAGAAGAGGGGCAGCTAGGTGGTACAGTGGATAAAGCTTTGGCTTTGGAGTCAGGAGGACCTGAATTCAAATCCGGCCTTAGACATGTGACCTTGGGCAAGTCACTTAACCCTGACTGCCTCACCAGAAAAAAAAAGAAAAAGAAAGAAAGAAAAAGATGTAGACAAGGACAAATTGGGAGTTATCAACAGAAAGATGGCATGGAAATTAAGAAGGATTAGGAAAACTTCTTTCAAGTGAGACTTGAGCAAAGCTTTGAAGAAAGCCAGGGAAACTAGGAGGCAGAGATGAGGAGGGAGTACATTCCAGACATGGTGGACAGCTAGGGAGAATGGCCAGAGTAGGGAGATGGAGTTTTCCGTGGGAGGAACAACTCTGGAGCCCAAAGGATGCGGCGGAAAGTCAAGTGTAAGAAGACTGGAAAGGTAGGAAAGGGTCAGGTCACGGAGGTCTTTAAAAGCCAAACAAGGCCTTGTATTTGATCCCAAAGATAACAGAAGACACTGGAGTTTATTGAGAAAGGGAGTGACGCGGGGCTGTGATTGGACCTGCGTTTTAGAAAGGTCCGATTTGACAGCTGAGGGGAGGATTGATTGGAGTAGAGAGAGACTTGAGGCAGGGATACCAGCCCAAAGATTCTTGCAATCATCCAAGCAGGGGGTGATGAGGGCTACACCAGGGTGGTGGCAGTGTCAGAGGAGAGAAGGAGGAGTATACAGGCGACAGTATGAAAGTAGAAACAACAGGACTGGAGGACTGATTGGATGTGGTGGGTGAGAGTGAAGAGTCAAGGATGACGCCTAGGCTGGGAGCCTGGGTGACTGGGAGGTACCCTCAACAGTAATAGAGAAGTTAGGAAGAGTGGAACGTTTTAGGAGAAAGTTAATGAGTTCGGTTTTTGTCATCGAGTTTAATATGTTGACTAGACATCCAGTTCAAGAAGTCTAAAAGGTAGTTAGAGATTCGAAAGTGAAGGTTGGGAGAGAGGTTAGGGCTGGACAAGAAGATCTGAGAGTCATCCACATAACAGATGATAACTGCAATCATGGGAGCTGATGAGATCAAGGGAAATAGTACAGAAGGACAGATTGGAGATGAGTGAGAGGGGGAATGATAGGGGAGGCAATCTGCTGGGAAGGAAAGACAGGCTGGAATGGGATCCTTCCTGCATGTGGAGGCAGTTGCCTTGGCAAGGAGAAGGACCACCTCCCTCTTCGTGTGAGACAGGGGTGAAAGAAGAATCAGCAGCAGAGGGTATCTGGGAAACGTGAAATGAGGAAGAAGGAAGAAGTGAAAGCCTTGATTTTTTCAGCAAAAGATGAGGCAGGGCAGGGAGGAGGAGCTATGTATGGAAGGTCTGAGGAAGCCACCATAGTGAGTGGGACAGTGAGTCAATTAGGGAGGCACAAAAGCATTGCCTTGAGACAGTGAGGGCTCACTACATAAAGCTGCAGAGACTATCAGTCAGCAGAGTTTCATGATTTTCTCTTTGTTTCGTAGCACACGCACAGGAGCAAAGGCAGGGAGTGCTAGGTGTAATCCTAGACTGAGGTTTGACTGGGCAAGATCTTCAATAGGATAAAGGCAAAAAACACACGAGAGAAGAGGACAATGTAGAGGTAAACTGGCTTACCAAGGGGTCAGGATGGGGAAGCGAAGAGGGTGGAGCCAGTGCAGGGAGGCTAGCTTGGGGAAGAACTGTATACACTGTAGAGAGGGAAAGAGGGGCTATTTTCAACAAAGGTCTCATCCTTCACCGTGTCCACTTTACCCAAGCTCTTCTTGATTTCACCCTCTGCATCTCTAGCCCCAGCGCCAGGATAGTAGACCCAGAATCCCAGGTCTCAGCCTTGAGCTTTTTCTATGAGGTGCACAGGTGAACTCCAGAATCTTTCCTTAAGTTTCTGCCTCCATCCAAGAAGCCAAGTTTTCTCTCCAAACCTGTAAACAGAATTTGATATGTCTGCTGGGCAGGAGCACAGATATTTGTGCCATATCGAGGGCCAGCCGGCCCTGCCCATCCTCCAGGGACCATCACCCAGGATCATTTTCCAAGACCCATCCACGTGGTCTCCCCAAGCAGGCCAGCCTCTCTGTCCCCAGAGTCTACACTAGAGATTGGAGACCTGCCCTGGCTCTCTGGACTCAGCACCAAGACATTCGATGCCATTTTCTCCCATTCTGTTCCAATGTAGGCGGCCCCCAAATGGAGGACACACTCCTAAAACAAGACTTCTGTGAACCAACCAAAGTCTGCATGCAGAATTACCCTGGGAAAGATGTCATTACCAGGAAAGGTGCTTTTTGCATTTCTTTCAACACAAATAAGGAGATTTTCTTTTTTTCATGTTTATGATCTTGAGAAGAGAGCAGTGACGAGAGGCTGCATGTTTGGTTATTTCTTCCATTTGTATTAGAAGCCTTTGACTAGCAGTCAAGACCTGGCTTCAGTCCCAGCACTGACACAGCTGTGTGAGCTTGGGTAAGTTTCAAAACCTCTCTGAGCATTAGTTCCCTTATCAGTAAAATAAGAAAATTCAACGAAGTGACCTTTGAGCTCCTTTTCAACACTGGTCTAAAAGACCTTGCAGCTCTAATATTGTATGCTTTAATGTTCTAGGGACCCTTCCAGTTCTGACATTCTGTGTTCTAAGGGCCCTCCCAGCTCTGACATCCTGGGCTGTAAGGGGCCCTTCCAGTTCTGACATCCTGAGTTCCAAGGGGCCCTTTCAGCTCTGTTCTAAGGGCCCTCCCAATTTTGCATGTGCTATCTCAGACACTCTCACTTTGTCAGATCAGGTTTGCTTAACTGTTTTTCTTTGTTACAAAGGAGGCTTTGATGAGAATGGGGTAAAGAATGACTGGGGTATAAAAAAAAAATCAAAGGAATTGATAAAACTTTTAAAAACCCAACAAATTAAGTCCCTCCCAGCTCTCTGTTTTATGTCCTATTAGTACTTCCACATTCAACATGCTGTGGCTAACATATGGAAAGGCGTTTATCTGTGTAATAGAAGACCAGGGCTGGTCTGGGGTAGTGGAGGGCGGAGGCCCTGAACCAGTTAGGGACCCTCAGCTTCGGGCTCATCCATGAACTGGGCTCAGTCCTGGGGGTTCGGGATCTCTACAGAGATGACTGCGGGTCTTTTCTCACACTCACTCGTCCTCTATGTCCCCACCTTGGAGCCCCAGAGGAAATCTCATGTTTTCTGCATAGATTTGGTTACTATCAGGATCTCCCCAAATGAAGAATTGGAATGATACCAGGGTACAAGGTCAAGCAGGTAGTAGACAACTATTTATTTCCTCCACAGAAAAGAAATGCTTAAAAATCACAAAAGGCTCACAGGTATGCATTGACAAAGACTTGAAACATGAAACAAAAAACTGTAACTCCTAAGGAGTGAATACTTCACACATGAGACACGGAACGGGACTGGCTACACAGCCATTTCCCGTTCCCGCAGCTCTGCAGTGTCTACACAGTTCCCTGGAAGCCCAGGTCTTCAGGCAATCCCGGGCCCATCCATTGGGCTGTGATCATCTCTTCCGAGGAGGGTAAAGTTACAGAAAACACCTTCCTCAGCCACTCAACTCCAGCTGAGGGGCTCCGGACTTTCTGACCTCTCAGCTCATGGAGTGGCTGGAAATATCCATCTCAGGATCATCATTCAGTCACCTCTACTCAGGGAAAGAAATACAAAACAGAAAGACCGACCAGCAGCCTACTGTCCAGGGTCAGGTTTTTATGTAAGCAATACATATGTGAGTAGCTGCTATCATTTCAAAAGGCCAAGGGTTAAAGGGACTCCCTCATCCCTACAAGAGAGAGATCTAGTGCAGCGTTCCCCCCTCCTCAGCCCATGGGAAGAGAGAGAGAGACAGAGAGAGAGAGAGAGAGAGAGGGAGAGTCCCAGATGATGGACTCATACCTTTTAAGGCTGACTGTTCTTCATGGATAATTGGCCTGTCCTTTTCTTTCTTTCTTTCTTTTCTTTTCTTTTTTTTTTTTGGCAGGGGGGGGAAGAGGAGGCAATGGAGTTAAGTGACTTGTCACACAGCTAGTACATGCCAAGTGTCTGAGGCTGGACTTGGACTCAGGTCCTTCTGACTCCAAGGCCAGAGCCCTATCCACTGTGCCACCTAGCTGCCCCTGCCAAGTCCTTTTCAACCCAGTCCCATAATAGGGGGAGAGAGGACACTATGACTTAGGGACCAAGATAGGATTGCTTTGCATTCTCCAAAGCACAAGGCCTTTAGTGCTGAGCACATAGATTCCCTGTAAGTGGGTGATTATTCCACTCAGGCCTATCTCCACCCATCTTCCACTGGGAATGCATTTATGTGCATATGTATATATATATATATATATATATATGTATATATATATATACATATATATATATACACATATATAAATAAAAGTGTGCATGTATATACAATATACATATATGTATGCATATGTGTACATATGCACCTACATATATATACACATATGTATATATGTATGTGTGTGCGTGTTTAAATTTTTTGTGACATTTTAAGTTCCAAACCATCTGCCTCCCACCCTCTACACCCTGAACTAGAGAAGGCCACCATTTGACTCAGACATACACGTAAAACCAGGCTATGCATATTTCTATTCACCAATTCTTTCTCTGGAGTTGGATGGCATGAAGGAGGCTTCCTAGGTCCTTTGTAGTTGATGTGGGTATTTATAATACTCAATAACTTAGTTGTTCATAAGTATTCTTAGAACAATATTGCTGTCTCTGTCAACACATACTCTTGGTTCTGCTCCTTTCACGCCCATTTCTCGTATTTCACTGGACATCTGGACGCTTTCCTCAGCCTGAGGGAGACGTGAGGGTAGCTGGGGGATGGCCGGGGGGGGTGGAGATAGGAAGGGGCCCTAGAATCAGAGGCTCCTGAGGGCACTCCCCCCTCCTCCGGGTCCCCCTGTTTCTCGGGCCCAGATCTTCCCCTTTAGAACAACGGGACAGTTTCCTTGGCTGCGCTTTCACTTTGACCTTGGCAGTCAGGCAAGTCCACACTAATAATGGACTCTCTGATCCCAGGCTCCTAGCTCCTATGCCACCCCTCTCCAGCCTCCTCACATACTTTCACATTTGCCTCAGCCTGAGGAGCGCATAGCCGATGTCCAGTCTGGCATCCTGACTCTTGACCCGGAGCTCCAATTCCCTGACTCGCCCACGCTGGGGCCTTGTCCCCTCTCCCCCTTTCTCCCTCTCCACCTCCAGCTTCTTTTCCTTCCTCTGCTGCCAGTGAATGGACTATGTGACTGGGGGGGGAGCCATCTCACCCCTTTCCCTTTCCACTCCAACACCAAACCCAACACAAAGACATGTTTACTGTAAGGCACGTTCCTTGTGCCAAGGGTCAGTGAAGCTTCTACAAGACTATGCTTGGCATGCACAGGTCAGCACAGGGAAGCCTGGAATTTGCCCTTCTTCCCCCCTTCCCTCTTCCACGTTCCTCACTCAGCCTGCCCTAATCCATGAGGCCAGGCCCGAGCTCTATGTAGTGCACGGGGGATCTCGGGGCATGGCGCCTGCCAGCTGCGACCCTACCCTCTTTCTGCCAGCCATTTTTAAAATGGGCTAATTACCTTTCTCTGGTTTTTAATCCATGAAACAAGAATCTCCTGGTCCTGGTAAAAATGGGGAACCAGGGCCTAGCCTCTAGCCATGAAACCTCATCAACTGTTCCTTTGCCTGTTGAAATAGGATCACAGACTCCCAGGGAAGGAAGGGACTCAGGGCATCTGGTCCAGCCTGGGCCTGAGCTGGGATTGCCCTTCTACAGTGAGTATGCGGGCTCCACCCGATGGGGAATCGCTCCCTCCCAAGGCCGCCCATTACACTCAGAGACAGCTCTAAGTGGGAGGAAAGGATGACCTGGGACCTGCCCAGATCTGATTTTCTGCTACTTTTTCCGCTAGTTTTGCCCTCTGAGGCCAAGCAGAATTCTGAAGACTAGAAGACAGCTCCCACACTTCCCCTAGACCTTCTGTCCACCCAGTCCTTCAAAAGCTCATCATATGCCTTGCTTTCCAGTACTCTCCCCATCCTCATCATCTTCTCTGTCCTTATCAATGTCCTACCCAGAAGTGGATTCCCAGTCCTCCAGATGGGGCTGAGCAGGGCAGAGGACAATGGGACAGTCAAGTCCCTCCTTCTGGACACTGTCTTTTTTTTTTTTAATGCAGCCTAAGATTTATTTTTCTGGCTCTATGCATTCATGTTGACCATGCACTCCACTTAGACCCTCTGACTCTACTGATGGCTTCAGCTTTAGCCCCAGTACACTATAATAGAGTACTCTCTAGAGGGTCTGAAGTCAGAAGATATGGGTATGCATTGAAGCTTCGCTACGCCCTAGCTGTGCGGCCTTAACCTTTCTGGGCCTCAGTTTCCCCAGCTGAAGAAATGAGATTGGACTAGATGGTTCCTCCCAGTTCTAAATCCTATGATTCTATGAGATCTCTTGGACCCCCCAGGTACCAGAATTTAGCTAGACATGGGTGGTGACACATCAGTGCACAACCTTAGTCCCCTGAAGCTCTGGACTGGTTCACACTGAGGGCCCCCCCCGGGGAGGGGGGGGAGTGTTCACACCAGGGTGGAGTCTTTCCCAGAGCTGCCGGCCTTTCGACTCAGCACCCCCCTCATCTCCTGAGCCACCCCATTCCAGGGTCTGGCCCGGGCCCCCAGCAGCCCCAACTCTGCTGACAGCGTCCGGTGCATCCTGGGTGCCCCACGGTCACCCTCCTCAGCGGGCACAGGATTCCCTGGGGGGAGTGAAGATGAGGCCAGGTGAGGTCGAGCCTCCAGGAAAGGAGGGTAGGAGAACTCCCGGTGGATATCAGGTCGAGCCCTGCCGCTTGGGGCCTGCTTGTAGAAGTCCCTGGTGGGGCGGGTTGTGCTGTTCTCATAGAGGGTGTGGGCGGGCTCAGGGAGGTGACGGTGGGAGGCCTTTGATGCCCTGAGCAGTATGTGGGTGAGGGTGATTAACAGTACCACTATACCAGAGGACAGGATGCAGGCACTGACAATCCCCGTTTCCATTTCAAACAGCAGCAGCACGTAGATAGACAGAGCTGGAAGGGAGGAGGAGGAAGGAATGGACATGTTACTTCCAGTAGTGGTAGTAGTAAGTGGTCCAAAAATTAGGGGGACATCAGAGGCCATCTGACCAGCCCTCTCATTTTACAGAGCTATTTAGGTAGCACGGTGTAGAAAATGCTCGGCCTCTGTGGCTCTTGGCAAGTCACTTATTCTGTCTGCCTCAGTTTCCCCAATTGTAAAATGGGGATAATAAAAGCACTTCCCTCCCAGTATTGCTGTGAGGATTGAACGAGATAACATTTGTAAAACATTTTGCAAACATTAAAGCACCACATAAATGCTAGTTATTATTGTTATTTTTATTATTTTTAAAAATTATTGTTGTGTATTATTATCGTTATTTTTAGCAGGATGAGGTGTATGGCGTCCCTGCCGTCACGTCTGCTGTCACTGAGCCCACAGAGGGTGATCCTACATCCCAGTATTTTTACTAGAGCACAAAAAGCAGGTATTTCATTCTCTTCTGCAATGGTCCGCCGAACATTAAAAATCAAGGTGTCTTAGGAGACTAGTGACTTGTCCCAACATCTTCTCGAGGAGAGCAAGACAGTCATTGGTGTACATTCATGACATAGGGATAAGAGCCCTGGAGTCAGGGAGACTGGGTTCGAATTTCAACAATGTGGTGCCTATGACATAGTCAACCTTGGGTAGGTGACTATACTTGTCTGAGCTCAGTTTCCTCATCTGTAAAGTGGGAGGGTTGGATTAGACATTCTCTGAGGCTCCATTCAACTGGGAATCTAGTTGGACAGCTGGCTCCATCCATTGTGATCTGGGTTACTTAGAGGAGACAGACTCTTCTCTGGGGTCTCAGTTCCTGAATTGGAGATTTCCAGGCTCTACCTCTTTTACTTCTTAGTTGTGAGACTGTGGCCTTTTCAGTTTACTTTTTGTAGCTTCACTTTTCTAATCTGCAAAATGGAGCTAATTATACTTGTGCCTCTCTCCCAGGAAGTCCAGTGAGATTGTATATTTTTGAAAATTTTAAAAGACTACAGAAACATCAACTTTTATTCCAACCGTTTGATCTCATACGGAGTTACAGATGGAGAGTGAGAAGGAGCCAACCCTTCATTTCACACATGAGGAAAATGAGGTCCAGAGAGAACAACTTAATTAATGTCCCCCCGATAGCGAGAGCCAGGATCAGAACCCAGACCCTGTGACTCCAAACTCAGAGCCCTTTCTACTGTCCCACACTGTATAAGCCTTATAACACCCCTGTGAGGTAAACAGTCCAAATATTGAATCATCCCCATTTTACAGATGGGGAAATTGGGGCTCAAAGAGGGGACAGAACTTGCCTAAGGTGAGATAACGTAGGTGAAATACTTTGCAAATTGTAAAATACTATAGAAATATTGCCAAGTGTGTGCAAGGAGTCTATCACTTCCAAATGCCATCTCATTGTGCACCTGCTCAGGTGAGAAGACCTTGGACCACAAGCTAATCACGTCTCCCTCTGCCTTCCCTTATAAAACCCTACTCTCTGGACACCACGACACCCAATCCCTTCACCCTCAGTTCTCTCCCAGGCCATCTCTGCATTAGCCCCTCTTTCCTCTTCTCCCCATCTTGACCCCTCGTTCAAACAATTCAGCGCTATACTCTCCCCCTCTCCAGCCTCCCTAGCCCTTTGTCATATTCCTTAACCAGGACCATCCAAGCCTCAGTCTTGGATTTCTCCCATCATGCCTCATTTTGGCTCCTGCACAAAAGTGCTGCTGAATGAAGGTGGAGAAAATGACACAGCCATTCTAATTGGGTCCGCTACTAATTCATGTTCCACAACCTCAATTAGTTCTCTGGGAATTCTCTATGACTGTCTCTCATGCCTGGAACGCTCTCCCTCTGCTCCAGCTACTGACCTCCCTGGCTTCCTGAAGTCCCAACTAAGACCTCACCTTCTACAGGAAGCCTTCCCCAACCCCTCCTCATTCCAGCGCTTTCCCTCTGTTAATTATTTCCTATTTCTCCTGTGTAGAGCTCGCTTTGTATATAGTCATTTACACGTCATCTCCCCCATTAACAATGTGCCCCTTGAGGGCAGGGACTATTTTTGGCCTCTATTTGAATTCCCAATGCTTAGCACAATGCCTGACATATAGTAGGTGCTTAAAAAATATTTACGTCATATTATTATATGTGTCAGAGCCAGAGTTCAAATTTCCATTTTTTTCTCTTCCCCAACACACATTTCATCAGCGACTTGTACTGACACATCTGGGGTCAGCTCTGGCAATGTGGCTAGGTCACATTCTCTCTCTGAGCCTCAGTTTCTCTTTTTAAAAAAACAGAAACGAAGAGAAACGTCTCTTCTGTAAAACGTCAGTCTCCCTCTCAAGACACTTGTGAGAATCCAGTGAAGTAAAAGATGGGAAAGACTGAGAGAAAACTTTAGTTTGTCATGCCTGAAAGGTCAGTGTGTGTGTGTGTGTGTGTGTGTGTGTGTGTGTGTGTGTGTGTGTGTGTAAGACTGAGAGGCTGTACAGAGGGATGAAAATCTAAGTGCTTCTAAAGGCTGAAGGTTTGAGGCTACTCCCTCTTCCCAAGCCTAGAGGCTAAATCTGTGTCTAGGGTCTCAGGGAAGCTTCCTGACTCCAAATGCTGGTTTTCCCACTAGGAGCCACCCTCACCCCCTCCCTCTGTCTGTCTGTCTGTCTGTCTTCCTCTTCCTTCTCTCTCTTCCTTCTTTCATTATTTTCCCCATCCCCAAGCCCTCCCTTCTTGCTGACAGTTCTATTCCAGTTGTGGGCACCATCCCACCAGTCCCCCAGGCTTTTGAAACCTTGGTATCAGCCTGGACTCCTCACTCTCTCTCCCCCCCCCCCCCCATATCCAAGATGTTGCCAAGGCCTGTCGATTTCATCTCTTTAACTTCCTTCTCTCCTCCACCCCTCTGGTGCAGGCCCTCACCACCTGCCGCCTAGATCACTACAATGGGCTGCAGGTGGGTCTGCCACTTCAAGTCTCTCCCCACTGCTGACCACCCTCCACAATGTTGCCAAATTAATTATCCCAAAGTACACATCTGACCATGTCACGCCTCTCTCTATTCCATAAATTCCAGGGGTTCCCTATTACCTCCAAGAACAAATATAAAATCATTTGGCATTAGAAATTCTTCTTAAACTGCCCCCCATGCCTTTCCAGTCTTCTTACACTTTAACCCTGTATCCTGATTCAGTGACCTGGCCTCCATGTTGTTTCTTGAACCAGACACTCCATCTCCCCCACACATGGAACTCGCTCTCTCCTCCACTCTGACTTCTGACCTCCCTGATTTCCTCCAGGTCCCAGCTAAGATCCCACCTTCTACAGGAAGCCTGTCCCAAGCTCCCATAATGCTAGCGCCTTTCCTCTGAGACTACTTCCAGTCTACCCCATACATATCTTGTCTGTACACAGCTGCTTGCGTGTTGTCTGCCTGTCAGATAGAGAGCTCCTTGAGGGCAGGGACTGTCTGTCTGTCTTATCCTCAGCACTTACTATAGTGCCTGGCATTTGGTAGGCATTGAGGAAATGCTTATTGGCTGACTTCCTTCCCCTCAGAACCCAGAATGTCAGGGCTGGGAGGGCCCTTAGAACCCAGAAGATGAGTGCTGGGAGGGCCCTTAGAACACAGGATGTCAGAGCTGAGAGGCCCCTAGAACACAGAATATCAGAGCTGGGAGGGCCCTTAGAACTCCCAAGGTCAGAGTTGGGAAAGCCCTTAGAACCTAGAATATCAGAGCTGGGAAGGCCCTTAGAATCCAGAATGTCAAAGCTGGGAGGGCCCTTAGAAAACAGAACGTCAAAGCTGGGGAGAAGCTATAAAAAGTAATCATTGTAGTACATAGGAAACAGCAATGGACTTGGAGTCAAGAGACACAGGTCCAAATACCAGGTGACCCTTCCTAGCTGTGTCACGCAATCTCTTGGCCTCAGTTTCTTCACCTGTAAAATGGGGGACAAAGAGATTTGTGTTACTTATCTCACAGGGCTGCTGTAGGGAAAGCCCATTGTAAACCTTTAAGCATTCCCAAAGTGTAAGAATGCTGGGCCTTAGATCAGCCAGGGCGGCCTCCTGCTGCGACAGAAGGGACAACTGAATCTCAGATAGATGGGTCCGAGGGTCACACTGCCTAGGAGCAGAGCCTGGATGACTTGCCTCCCAGCCCAGGCCTTTTTCCTCCACCTTACAGAGCAGCCCAGGGCTTGGATAACTCACCATGGGGAGGAGGACGGAGGGTGGAGAGAAGGGGAAGGGGTCACTCACTACTAAGTGCTGGGATAAATGGATAGCTTCTCGCCTGTGCCCATCCATAGTGTGTCGGGGAGAGAGATGGGCCCCTACCTGCTAAGTACACCGAGACCCCACAGCAGAAGAAGCCGACAGCGACATGCTGGAGACAGCGGCTGTCCAACAGGAACCAGTCAGCCCTGTAAAGAAAGAGGTTTTTAAATAAGGAAAGCAGTGCAGCAAAGGGCCAGATGGAGAGATTTGGAGTCCAAAGGCCTGATTAAGGGTCTTCAGTAACAGAGAACTCACTACCACTCAAGGTAGTCTATCTAATGCTACACTGCTGTTGTTAGGAAGTTGTCCATGTGCTCTGGGTTCAAATCTCTCCTCTGATGTAATCGTGAGCAAATAATCTCTCATCCTACTTCCTTATTTGTAAAATGACGGGGTTGGAATAGATGGGCTCTCCAGACTCCTCCATATCTAGACCTAGGATCCTCTAATCCTGTGACATCAGCCTCTCTGCCAACCCTGGTTTTGGCCTTGGTGGCCAACCAGAACACGGCACAGTCACTTTTCAAATAAGATGACTATCATTCCAGGTTGCCAACGTCCTTCCCAGAGGGTAGCACCCAGAACTGGACAGAATACATACTGAGGATTCTCAGACACAGGATTTAGAGCTGGAAAGTACCATCTCATAGGACCCATTCATGAAAGGGATCCCCACTAGGGCAGAGCTGACAGGGGGTCACCCAGCCTCGGCCTGAAGACAGCCAGGGAAGAGGATGCTACCCACTTTGGACGTCTCAAATGGTCATGGCTTTCAGATAGTCCAGTAACTTTTAAATTCTCTCTCCTGGATCTATTTTCCAGGTCAGTTGTTTTTCCAATGAGATATTTCACATTGTTTTCTAATTTTTCATTCTTTTGGATTTGTTTTACAGTGTCTTGATTTCTCATAAAGTCATTAGCTTCCAATTGCTCTATTCTAATTTTTAAGGAAGTACTTTCTTCAGTAAGCTTTTGGACTTCCTTTTCCATTTGGCCAATGTTGCTTTTCAGGGTATTCTCCTCATTGGCTTTTTGGACCTCTTTTGCCATTTGGGTTAGGCTATTTTTTAAGGTGTTACTTCCTTCAGTATTTTTTTGGGTCTCCTTTAGCAAGCTGTTGACTTGTTTTTCATGATTTTCTTGCATCACTCTCATTTCCCTTCCCAGTTTTTCCTCTGCTTCCCTTACTTGCTTCTCAATATCCCTTTTGAGCTCTTCCAAGGCCTGGGACTGATTCATATTTTTCTTGGAGGCTTTTGATGTGGGAGCTTTGACTTTGTTGTCTTCTTCTGGTTGTATATTTTGATCTTCTTTTTCACCAAAGTAAGATAATATAGTCTGACTCTTTTTATGCTGCTTGCTCATGATCCCAGCCAATTACTTGAGTTTTAAACTCTTTGTTAAGGTAAGAGTCTGCTTCCAATGTGGAGAATGTACTGTCCCAAGCTTCAGGGGTTTGTGTAGCTGTTTTCAGAGATACTTGTAGGGACCTGTAAATTTTCAGTTCTTCTGGGGTGGTATGATAAAGGGCGAGGAGTTTACTCCTTTCCTGGCCTGGGCTCTGGTCTGTTAGTGACCACAAGCAGTCCTTTCTGTCCTGGAACTGTGAGGAAGGTTTTCTCTCCACAGCCACTCCAAGCTCCACTGTGCCAGTGCTCCTCCTCACCCCAGCACTGCCGCCCAGAACTGTGACCCAGATCCACACAGGGGCAAAGCAAGAGATTCCTGCTTCAGCACTGGCAAAGAGATCCCTGCGATCCCCCTCTGATCAGCCACTGGATTCCCCCTCAGTCCCTGGGCCGGAAGCTCAGGAGGCAGCTGCCCCCCCAAGGGCTGTGCTCTCAGGGAACTGGATCTGAGACCCCGCGCTCTTCTCTCAGCACCGCAGAAACATACTTTTCACACTGACCTTCTATGTTGTCTTTGGCATTCCTGGGTTGAGAAGTCTGGAAGCCACCACAGCTGCCCACGATTCAGTCCTCTGAGGCCTGCTCCAGGTTTGCTGCGGCCTGTGCGCCCACGCTGTGCTGCGTTGCGCTCCCAGCCTGGCGCGATATACCTTTCTGATCAATCATCCAGGTTGTCTTGGGCTGGAAATTTGCTTCACTCTGTCTTTTTGTGGGTTCTGCTGCTTCAGAATTTGTTTAGAGCCATTTTTTACAGGTATTTGGAGGGGTTTGGGGGAGAGCTCAAGCAAGTCACTGCTTTCACTCTGCCATCTTTGCTCCGCCCTCCCAGAAGCTAGACGTCTCAAATGGTAACAGTGGGAATCACACTGACTCTTGGGCAGACCTGGGTCCCAGCTCTGATGCTCCCTCACCAAGGGCCAGCTAGGTGGGGCAGTGATAGTGTTGGGCTTAGAGTCAAAAAGACTTGAATTCAAACCCTGCCTCAGACTCTGGGCAAGTCTCTTAATCTCTCTGATTCTCATTTTTCTCATCTGTACAATGGACATAAAGACATTACCTACCTCCCAGGGTTGTTGTGAGGATCGAGTGAGAAAATATGTGTAAAGTGTTTGCTATGATGTTTTAATCACTGTGTGACCTGGGGCAACTCACTTTAAGGTGCCATGCCTCAGTTTCCCCCTTTGTAACATGAGGGGGTTGAACCAGAGGGTCTCTGAGGCCCTATCCAGTTGCAGACCTATGGTAATTGTCAGGAAGTTCTCATGGGCCTCACACCTCCATTTACCTCTTTGTAACTTGCCTCTGTTCTGTGCCGTCAGTTCCCTCCTTCTGGACATCAGCTCTATCCGCAGAACAGCAAAGGGCTGAGCTGCAAGAGACCTGAGGCAGCATGCAATCCGACTCCCATTTTATAGGCAGAGAAACTGAGGCCCAGGAGAAGCAACCACAGCACACTGGATATACATGATGACGATGATGGTGGTGGACATCGAGTGGCACGAAGGAAAGAGCTTGGAATCAGGAAGACCTGAGTTCAAGTCTGGCTTCAGATGCTGACTAGCTGTGTGACCCTGGGCAAGTCACTTAACCCCATTTGCCTCCATTTCCTTGTCTATAAAATGGAGACAATAACAGCACCTCCTTCCCAGGGCTGTTGTGAAGATAAAATGAGATTATATTTGTAAAGTGCTTAGCACAGTGCCTGGCACATAGTACACTATTTATAAATGATAGCTATTTATATAGTGCCAGGCCTGGAGTCAGAAGACCTGAGTTTAAATCCAGCCTCAGATACTTATTAGCTGTGTGACCCTGGGCAAGTCACTTCACAGTTTACCTCAGTTTCCACATCTATAAAATGAGCTGGAGAAGGACATGGCAAACCACTCGACTATCTCTGCCAAGAAAACCCCAAATAGGGTCATAAAGAGTCGAACGTGACTTAGCAATATTTATATGGTGCTTTAAGGCTTGAAAATCCCTGTCCTTGTCATTTCACTTGATGCTAACGACAACCCTGTGAAGAAGCTGCGATCAACAGCCCCATTCTACAGATGAAGAAACTGAGACTCAGGGTAGTTGAGTGACTTGCACAGGGTCATGCAGCTAGAAGTATCTGAGGTGGAATTTGAACTCATGTTCTTTACATGAAGTCAAGCACTCATACCCAGTGCACCACCTAGTTGCCTAGAGTTCTAACCTTGGGTCAGAAAGACTAAGATTCAAGCCCTGCCCCTGACACACATTGGCTGTGTGACTTCGGGTAAGTCACTTAGCCCCTCAGTGACCCCAGGCAACTCTTTAAAGGTACTGCAGAGCACGTACTATCAGCATTGGTGGAGGGAGTTTCCTCAACGGGAGTCCCAGGTACCAGTGAAATCACAGATCTGGTCCAAAAAAAGAGGAAGAAAAAGAAGCAAAAGCTCTCAGGTAGTAGGTGGGACTTGCCCAAGGTCATGCAGTCAGGGCTAGAGCAGGACCCAGAATCTGGTTCAGTCAATAAACACCTGTTAAGCTCCTACTGTGTGCTAAGGGCTGGTAATATTCCAAAAGAGGCAAAAGATGGTCCCCACCCTCATGGAGCTTACAATCTAGGGGGGGAGATGACAGTGTAGAAACAAAATCAACAGAAAATCAACAGAGCAATGGCGCTCGCATTAAGGGGGATTGGGAAAGGCTCCCTGTGAAAGGCAGGGTTTTAGCTGGAACTTGAAGGAAGCCGGGGAGGTTCAGTAGGCAGAGCTGATGTGGGACAGCATCCCCAGCATGGAGGAGAAAATGCCCGGAGGTGGGAGATGGAGGGTCTTGTTTGTGGAACAACAAGGAAGTCAGTCTGCTTGGATCTCAGATCACAGCCGTCCCTTCCACATCATGGGGATCAGGGGTGCAGTGCCTGCAATCTGGAAAATCCATATAAAATGCTTTGGCCCCCCCTTTGCACCAGACAAGTCTGAATGACTATGGTGTTAAAAGATAAGATATGTTGATCTTATTCAATACCATAATATATTTTATGCATTTCTGAGTTTCTAAACTTTTTTTGTGTCGTCTGTGGCTTCTGCAAAACTCCCCCAAAATTCCTACTTAATTTCTTATGCCAACCCACGATGGGGGAAGTGGAGATGGGGAAGGGATAACTGTACTTGGAAGGGGCAGAGTTGTGAGTGTGAGAAGACTATAAAGGGGGTGGGGTGGGAGTGGGGTGTAGGGTGGGTTATGAAGGGTCTTGGAAGCCAAACAAAGGTTTTTCTATTTTATTCTGGAGGTAATAGGGAGCCACTGAAGTTTATGTATAGCAGAAGTGATATAGTCAGACCTGTGTTTAGAAGAAGACACTTCTACAGAGTTCCAAGAGACTTGACCAAGCAGCGGCCTATTTCAACGGTCTGGGCATGAGATGGTGAGGCCCTGGACGAGGGTGGGGGCAGTGTCAGAGGAAGGAAGGGGCAAATGGAGACAGAAGGCTGGAGATCAGCAGAGTAGGGTTGAGGAAGTCGATCTGAGAGTCATCAGCATTGAGATGATACCTGAATAACGTGGGAGTTAGCAGGGAGGGATGGAGAAAATGTGAAAGAGAGGGACGTAGGCATGTTTATAGAGAACAGGGAGGTAGCTAGCAGAGAGGAAGAGAGAGAGGGTAAGTGAAAGTGGGGATGATAGTGATCAAAATCTGCTGGAGAAGACAGGATGAACTGGGATCCCTTGTGCAGGTAGAAAGGGTTTCACCTTAGCAAGAA